ACATATATATGTATACATTTTATATATAAAATATAAAACTCACTGCCATCTAATTGGATCCAACTCATAGCGACCCCTCCTTGGGTTTCCAAGCAACATCACTGGGGAAGTAGATTGCCCAACCTTCCTTCTGAGGAGTGGCTGGTGGGTTTGAACCACCAGCCTCCTGGATAGCAGTCAAATGCCTTCAGCTCTACACCACCAGAGCTCCCATCTTATATGTATTTATGTATATATATATCTCAGAGAGAATGGAGAGCAAGTTAAATGTTCTTCAAAGTTAAGTGTGTGTAGCCTACTGTTCCAGACTAAGTATCACCCAACACTTGAGAAGAGTAAAGAGTAAGATCTTAATCAGAGTCTCCCAGCAACTCTGGCCAAGAAACTGGGGGCTGGCTAGTCTTGAATTCCTCACTCCCCTCTTCTCAGTATTAAATCATCGGTGTTGTTGTTGTTGTTATGTGCCATCGAGTAAGACCCGACTCATAGTGACCCCTCCTTGGGTTTCCGAGGAAGTATCACTACAGAAGTAGATTGCCCAACCTTCCTTCCGAGGAGTGGCTGGTGGGTCGAAACCACCAGCCTTCTGGTTAACAGTCAAGTGCCTTAGGCACTATGCTACCAAAGCTCCTTAAAACACCAGTAATGCTAATTAAATGGGAAAATCCTGCTTATCACTGTAGACTCCAAGTGAGAGGTTCTCCATAAATAATCACATAGGGTAAGTACAGGCAGAGGGAGCTCTGGTAACATAGTAGCTAAGGCACTTGACTACTAACCAGAAGGCTGGCGGTTCAAACCACCAGCCACTCCTCGGAAGAAAGATGAGGCAATCTACTTCCGTAGTGATACTGCCTTGGAAACCCAAGAAGGAGTCGCTATGAGTTGAGTCCGACTCAACAGCACATAACAACAACAACAACTACAGGCAGAAGTTTCAGTACAAGGTAGAAGACTTAAAATGAAGGCACTCTCACCACAAGGAGAGTAATAAAAATCACTTCATAATATTAACAAACACTTAGTAAGCACATCCAGATGCTGGGCATATTTTAAAGCTATTTAATCTTCACAAAGACCCTATAAAGTAGGTAATGTCATTGTCTCCCTTTTACGGATGAGGAAACTTAGGCACAGAGAGGTATCTAACTTGCCCTGAGTCTGTAGCCACGAAGCTGGGCAACTTACTTGGTTTGAGTTTTGTTTGCTTATTGTGGTAAATATATGTGTAACAAAACATTTGCCATTTTTACAATCTTCACATGTACAGTTAATTGGCCTTTAGTTTTATTTTAAAAAATGTCAAAGGTTAAATCTGGCTGGTTTAAATAGGGAATATAACTTTAGTCAATAATTACAAGGAGAACATGTTATTGTTGTTAGGTGCCATCAAGTTGTTTCCGACTCATAGCAACC